GGGGCTGTTTATGGTTTTCTACCCCAGTTGCCAACTGAGTCGTGTTCAAAAATTCAAGAGCAGCTGGAGAGCGAAAATTAAGTTTTCTTGTTACCCTGAGGAGTCATGTGGTAATTGGTCTATGGTTGTTGGCAACGGATTATTTATTTTAAGGAACCCTTCTCTTTACTAGTAAACACATGCGTTCCCCCCGCCCTGGCCTCGCTGGACAGGGAGGCCTGCGTCTGTGCCTGATGAGGTGGTGTCGTGCTAGGGCATGAGAGGAAGGCATGAGGAGCACTTGCTCCATCTATGGGAACAGCCAAGGGTGTCTAAACACTGGGGTTCAGGGAAGCTTTGGTTTCGGCAGCTTCCTTTGGCTTGGGTTCCCTTAAAGAGCATGCCAGGCCATGTGGGCAATGCTCTTGGCATGGTTTTTTTAAGTGGGGAGCCGCAGTTTGGTGGTTTGGGTTTTGGTTTTGGTTTTTTTTTTTTTTTTTAGGAGAAAGAATCCTGTCCTAGTTCTCATTATAGATTACATGTTATATTTAGACATAGATGTCCCACCGTTATCCATGTGAACATGGGGCTTAATAAGGAGATGCCATTTGCCCTCAAATCCGGCAGAAACAAACCTACCTTATGAGAGATGTATCATTCCCCATCCCTGGCTGGAACTGCTGCCTACCCCAGGAACATTTACATTTTCAGTGGTAATGGGAACCTGATCTGGAATTCCCGTTGTTTATAACATCCATACATACATCCTCTTTTTCAGTCAAGAAGTTACTGTAAACTTTTTTTCTTAACGCAGGAAGGACAGACCCCATACCTCCCTCCAAGGAAAGGAAGATGGATATAGTGTCAGGCTCAATTAGATCCAATTGTGGTGGCTTTCCCTAAAGTGAACAATGCAGCTTTTGTGATGGACTCCCAGCAGAAAGCTTGGAAGTCTTGGAAGTAGGGAAAAAAACAACACACACCCCAAAGTCCAAACCTTGAGATAGTCCAGGTCCTCAGGATGCAAAGGAGATAGCATTTCTTTTTAAGAGGGCCAGAGTTGGGCACTATTTTCCCCTTTGAAACGTTGCACTGACATAAAAAGGGCTGAGGTGGTCAGAGCTGGCAACAAAGAAGTATGCCCAGTCCACCCTCCACCAAAAATACCTGTGGAGGCAGAGGCTAAGCACCTGGGGCAGGCCAGCCCTGGATGCGGAGGGGACCTCCTTTGGTAGGGCATCCGACCCACCTGGAGCAGCGCGAGGGCGGCTGGAGCGGGGTAGGCGGGGGGGGGGGGAACAAAGTGGCCAGCTCAGCGCTGGAAGTGCTTAAAATGCAAATGTACAGGAACTTCAGACCATCCCCCTCCCTCCTCCTCGGCGCGGAGGAAAGCAGCTTAAATACAGCCAGGCCTGGAGAGGAATGTTAAAAAGAGGGGAAGAATCGCCCTCCTCCTTTCCATAGGGACCCGGGCCCGGCCAGATTGAGTATGCATGACTGAGCAAGCAAGCAAGGACAGCTCCTCTTTTAACTTTCCTGAACAATGGCTCCGGCTTCTTCCACCATTTCGCATTCCCCCTCCTTCGAGGCAGGAAGGGGGCAGCCGGGCAAGCGATCCCCGCCACCGGGCTGTGGGGAGACGGGCTTTGTCGCTGCCCTGTAAACACCGCGTAAGCTTCATTTCCCACAATAATAAAAAACTGACATCGTGGAAGGCTAAAAAAGGAACCCTCTCGGGTTAAAAGTCATGCGTTGAGGAGAAAGATTTCAGTACAGGACAAAGGACACCTCAGATTATTTGAACTTGGTTGGGTTTTTTTCCACATGTTCCCACTTTATTTCCTCTTTAATCTTTGCCTGGGCTGTGGAAACCAACCAAGACATTTCGGATTTCCCAGGTCCTCATGCGCCAGCAAGGGCACGGTTTTTCTTGGCTGTCACTGCTGGGAAATGTTTTTATTTGATGGGTCTTCCACCAAAGGTGGGCCTCAATTTAAATCACAAAAAAAACCCCTCTGCTGTCTACCTGGAGCTTTAAAAAAATTAAGAAACACAGCCCTTCTGTGCCCCCCTCCCCCCAGATGTCTTCCTCTACCACTGAATACTCAATTCACTTGCTAGCAAGCTTCAGCACTTTTGGCTTGTCTGACCTCAAACTGAGCTGACACTTCACACCGATGGGCAGCTGAACTCGGTTTCTCCCCGCAGATGCTGCGAGCGCCCTCGCGGACAAGGCTGGTCCTACCAAACCCCTTCCTTGCAAACTCTTCGTGATGATGTTACTCAACATCCTGCACAGGAGGCACCAGGCTCTCTTCCTTCCTTCTCCTCCTCTGTCACTGAGTGGAACAGGAGCGAGCAGCCCCAAACACCCAGCATGAGCCACACAGCATACTTACCAAACCCAACAGATAAGATAAATAGATAAATATATGTCTTTAAAAAGCACAGACCACACAGATACAGCTTTTTTTTTTTTTTCAAAAACATACTTCATATTTCCTCTTTTATTATATAAATATGTTTAACCTTTTACTGTAAGAATATAAAATGTTTTAAGAGGATCTTTGTTATTTTTTATACAAATTCACAAACAGTACAATTAATCCATAGGGGTCTCTGGGTTTGCGTTAACTCCATGGTCTGGCCTGTTACTGTGGAGGATTTGAGATTTTGAACAGATGAGCAAAAAAAAAAAAAAAGCCAAGATATTTTTCTTTAAAACAAAACAAAAAACAAACTTACTCTTCTTTAAAATAATTAAAAAAAAAAAAAATCTAAAGACCCAGCTCCATTTTATTGACAGAACAGAGATAAGACAGATGAACTTCAGTCTCCTCCCCTTCACATTGCAGCCTCAGGGCCTGCAGGCCAGCTCTGCTCCTCTCCACCTACAAACAGGAAGCCTGGCATAGTGACCTTTTGTAGGTGATTTGGGAGGGGAGGGGAAAGCATTTGCATATATCTATATATAGAATTTTTTTTTTTTTAAACTAAGTTGCATTTTACACGTTTCTGTTAACAGTAGCCCAATCCTCAACGTGGATTCTCACATTACATGTTTGTGCTAGAAGAGTAAAAATGCAGAAGCACAGTTCAGGTCCCCAGTCCCCAGTGCAGAGGGAGGGAGAGGCACAACCAGAATGTGAAGGTGGGACACAGTAGGGTAAGCTTAAAATCAAAAGTTTTAAAAAAAAAAGGGGGGGGGGGGGGGGAAAAAAAAGAAAA